AATATTTATTAATTATTTTGTAGAATTTGTCATCACTTGTTCATAGCAAATCAATTATAATTACATATGAAAAATTTGTTGATTCTATGTCGATCAACTGAAAAGTTATTTGAGTTCAAAATTTGAATTTAGGTGATACATTTGAATCTTTAATTTTAGGAACATTCATAATATCAATATACATGCCGGGCCTCATTGTGTATTTTGTCCTTTTTCTTAAATCAAGCTTATAAATATACGACTCAAGTGTTTCATAAACGATATTCATTTGAAAGAGTTGAGTACAAGACAGAAATGCAACTCAGCTTGAATAAATAAAAGTCTATTCTAAATTTCATAGCAACGTATATGAACAAATATGTAACACATGAGTAAAAAATATTCATTTTCTTTACACGAATTTTCTAATATAGCTGAATAACAAGCAATTAAATAATAACTCTTAAACTGTGTAATATGTTACTTGAGAAGGCTCAATCATTCAATATCCCTCCAATGCAATAGTATGAGTACGACATCTAACATCTGATATAGTAGACGACTCGTACGAGAAAAACGTTTTTCTATTGAGTAAAAACTGAAAAGAGATGCTACTGCATCACCGTAGGAGATGTCTTTTCTCAAATATTATTCATCTATAAATACTTTTCGCTCATCATAATGAAATAGATCGAATACCAAGGAAACAAAGATAAACGGACTTTTTTTTGCTACAGTTTTATATGAAATACTGAAAGGAATTATACATAAAATTTTTTTTTTATTAACTGCATTTCTTAAACCTTACATTGTTTATGAAAGATTGTTTTACTACGGAACGCTGTATTACTTATCTGAACTGTAAGAAAGGAAAATTTATTTTATAATCTATTTTTCAAATTTCAATTTCGACTGATATTCTCGCGTTATCAATCATGGTATTTCACCAAAAACCTCCACTTATATCGATGATTCCATATGAAAACAAAAACGAGAGATAGAGCTCGCAATTCTGAATCTAGCACAATCAAAAAGAGCATCAGCACAGGGTCTGGCCGAATCCTGACGAGATATTCTCCTAAAGGGATGGATTCGGGACCCTCTTTCGCGAAAAGCCCCGCCCTAGATTGACGATTCCACCTAAAACCGACAGCTACAGATAGAGCTCAAAATTCTGAATCTAGCAGAATCAAGTAGGGGAACCGCCGATGTGCACAATCGAATGCTGCGGATGGTTGAATGTTGGACGGCGATTGCATTGGGGTCAAATTTGTTTTTTCCTGTGAAACGCGATTTGCGGCCGACCACCCTATCTATATCACCTACCATTAGATAGAGCTCAAAATTCTGCAACGATTGGGAGGAAGTAGAGGCTCAGCACAGGTGGATAGGGGAATCCTGACAGGTTATTTGCCGAAAAACACGTTTTTGTGGTAGTATTACGGAGAAAAGGCTGATTTTGGCCTGGTGATCCCATGTTAAACTGACACCGTTGGATAGAGCTTTAAATTCTGTATGCAGCACAATCAAATGGAGTATGCTCAGAGGCGCATAGGCGAATCCTGCCATGTTATATTATTATTGTGAAACCGTTACATGGGAGGAAAAGCAGTATTTTGATTAGGCTCCGCAGGCTTTACTTTAGAACCACCAGAAACTGTTACTGTTCGATAGAGCTCAAAATTCTGAACCCAGCACAAGGAGTTAGAAAGCCAGCACAGTGGAGTAGGCGAATCCGGGCGCGAATTACGCGAATCTGGTGCTAACTTTACCTACGTATCTAAATCGTCGAATATTCGACCTGAAGAGTTGGTTGATGCTTCATGTTATTGATCTTCACTGTCAACACCACTTTCTAAACCTAACATTTCATCTGATTCATTCTCCGGAAACGGATGATTCGTTCTCTTCGTTTAAATCAGAATAATCTTGAATGCTTATTCTTTTCCTTAATAAAATTTCCATGGAGTTATTAGCTTCTTTGACATTTGTTATCTTTTTCTTATTAAGAAAATTTTAATTTTGAAACAAGAAAGAAGATCAGCAGCATCACTATATTCTTGACAAACTACTTTTGTTATTATTTCTACATTAAATATATCATTTTCATGAATTACATATTGCGATTGTCTTAATTGTTTTCTCTACTTATAATGTTTTGGCAAAAGAAGATTTCTACTTGTTGAATAAAACTCACTTTCAGTTTTGAGTTTTTGTAACAGAGAAAGCTTTTGAGCACGATTAACAAACTCTTTTACACTAAAATTTACAATCGAAGAAAATGTTCCAGACAGTGAACGAGTTGAGCGAAACATCCTTCGCACATCTGAGAACTGAATAGATAAATATTCATAGATTCTGGTGGTATTTTTTTCCCTATTACTAATAGAGCAAGATATGTAATTTGGTGAGCATTCATTTCTATGCAATAGTATGCGTTATTGGCAATGAAAAATTGTTTCTTGCTTTTTCTTCTTCTATTAGTTCTAATACCACTAAGTTCATAGAGACGTTTTTTCTAAATAGATACAGATATACCACAATCGGCTAACAAAAACTGAGAACCATGTATGATAAAGCATTTATTGTGCGAGATAGTAGTCGATTACGTAACTTTTTACAAACATTTGCAGCATCTTGAAACCATAGAAACAGATGACTGTCACTAAGAAAATACCAATTCCATTCTTTTGGAATTTTAAGATGAAATGCATTTGTGTAACTATTTGATTTAATGTTTGGTAATGTAGCAAAAAAGACGGTTACAAGACGCATTGCGCGCATATGTCTTGGATCACCATCGGTTGAAAATCCTACAATACGAAAATTTTTTAATGAGCTTTGTTTGAATATCCATATCCATCGACGGATAATATCAATTGCTTCAGATTTGTTATTTGTTCCAAGTGCAGAAAGTAAAAGCTGGTTAAGTGCTATCTGCATATTAGTAATAGGTAGAATCATATGAATATTAATAAGATGTGAACGATCTTCAGTAGAAAACCATTCACAAAGTTTTTTAAAAGAGTCTGTTTGGTAGTGTAGAGTAATAGGTATTCCATCAATCCAAGGTGGCACTAGGCCAACAAATGAATGAGTTAGTAAGACTGTCATAAGATATTTTCTTAATAACTATTGTACAGTAGGGGTGGCCCTTTACTTTTACTTTACTAGTGAATAGTAAATAAAATATTTACCCTTTACTTTGGTAAAGTAAATAAAATATTTAATGCGGTGCGAAGCACAGCATTCATGTAGTCCGTCGCGAGTTTTTTTTTTTTAATGCGATGCGAAGCAGAAGCATTTATGTAGTCCGTCGCG